TTAACAACGTGTAAAGACTAATTCTAAAAAGAATTGTTTTGGGCTGAATATTAAATATATAGAGAAAAAGAAAAAGCTAGTAATTGACATTTATTTCCATTTACCCACTAGAAGATGGATACAAAACTGCTTAAAGATTCGGTTGAAGTTGAATTAAGTCCAAAACCTCAAGTACTTACCAAAATGCAACACCGTGTGCATTTAGTTATTTGAGTATGGTATATAACCTTGAGACAATCTGCGTGCAATTGGACGAATAAAGAGATCCTTTGAGGCTATAGCCAAATATAAAATGTAAACTAAAAACTAGAACTAATTAACCAAATTGAGCTTCAACTTTATTAGAGCCAGCTCAAATTCATCATACATCTTTGGTACTTCAACCCACGGTTTATGAAAGAAATATGATGTTTAACCACGTACTCTAGTAGTCAACACATAATTGATAGCAAGGCTCACAAATTTTCTTTTAACCTCGAGCTCCAATTTAAAGTCATGACATCTTTGTTAAAAAAAAAAGATTAATCTTCTATACACTGACATTGTATATATTTTTACCATTAGATGCATGACACATAATTTGAATTTGAATTTGAAATCTAAATTTTGTATATGTGTCGTGCATCCAATCATAATAGTATATATATTGTCAATATATATAAAATTTACTCAAAAAAAATGTCGTCACATCTTGTACTTTGCATCGACATTGTTTCTTTTTTGTTGTCTTTATAGGAAAAGTTAATTAATAAATCAAGAACCTCCAAATCTGAAGGCTTAACATCATTAAATTTAGTATTTAGGTAGTTTATATGGCTTCTTAAATATTGTGTAACTGAAACATATCTACTTAATAATCTGTTTCCCCATTACAAATATGCACCTCATTTTCAACGCATGCGAGGTTGTGCTGCTGCTGCTCTTGATATACTTAGAATCCTAAACCTAAAAACATTATATATATATAAAAGAAACACACCCACATAGACATAGACACGCAAAACAAAATTGGGTAATCTGAATCCGTGGCCTGAAGGAAACTTCAAATTAAAACTTGAAGTCGGCTAATCCTTGAATTTATTTCATCATGATCCTGCATATCGCAAGGTTAAATTGCACAATCATCTGACAGGATCCCGCCTTTCATTAACATTAGTTGAAGAATTTTCTCTACTAAGTTTCGTGCTAGCTTATGGTACTTAACAAGGGTTTTATTTGTTTCAAGTATCAATGATTTATACACGGGAAAAAAATAACTTACAAATCAAAAGATTTTCACCAAGTACAGCTAACAAGGAATGTTTCTTGAGTTGCAAGAGAAATCAACTTGAGTTCGGACTAAGGCAGAAAAGAACTTGAGTTTGGCCAAGCCCTAGTCGAGTCAAGTTGTTCATGTGTCGCGACTTTGTTACATTTCAACAATTTGGTTCAATTCTAGATATAGATACAACTTCCCTTCCCATTTTTTACCTTGGATAGTGGTACAAATATAACATACAAAATAATAATAAATTTGTCACCTTTGGAGGAAAAAAAAAAGGTGTACAAAGCAAGCAAGGTACTAGATTATGCGAACGGTGAAGTCAGAAATTATCTCAGATTCCCACCAAGAAGCTAAAAGAAACAAAGTGAAGATTCAGTTCAACTAAGTACAAAACATCAAGAACTTGTCTCACAAAGCCACCTAGCTTTAACGCATGCAACTTGGCTTTTTCTTCATGGGATAGTACAAAAACGTTTCCTTAATTCTCAAGTCGTGTACAAACAGACAACCACAACCTATTTCCACTGTAACAGAAATGCCCAGCGAGCATTCATTTTCACCATTTTCTTGGCCTCATAAATGGAGAAACCATCAGTATGGTATACAGCCTTTGGTAATGCTATCCTTAACTTTTAACTGGTTGATATGCATTTAGTTGAATTAAGTCCAAAACTTCGAGTACTCGCCAAAATGTAACACCGCCTGCGTTTAGTTATTTGAGTATGGTATACAGCCTTAAGACAATCTTAGTGCAATGGGAAAAATAAAAAGATATTTTGAGGCTATAGCGAAATATAAACTAAAAACTAGAACTCATTGACCAAATTAAGCTTGGACTTTATCAGAGCCAGCTCAAATTCATCATACAATTTTGGAACTTCAAACCACAGTATATGAAAGAAATATAATGTTTGACCACGTGCTTTAGTAGTCAACTCATAATTGATAGCAAACCATACAAATTTACTTTTTACCTCGATCTCCAATTCAAAGTCATGACATCTTCTTTAGAAAAAAAAATGTTGTTACATGTTGTTGCACCGATATCGTTTCTTTTTTGTCATATTTATAGGAACAAAGTTGATACGTTCCTTGATCAACTTGTTTCGAGACACGTAGCACGTTTGTCCAAGGATCTAGCGAGGTTGTCCAACGCTTGGTTTCCGGAACCTAGAATCAAACGGACGACACTTTTTGATTAAAGGCGGTAGAACGACACTCCGATGAAGGTGAATACTCCAGGGGAATAGGTCGGTTGAACAATCAAGGACAGGACGCAAGATTGCTCAAGAACCCTTGCCAAAGCAAGTTAAAGGGAAAGCGAAAATACTAAGAACTTTATTCATAAAACTTGTGTTTAGAACCTTATAAAGCTAGCCTTTTTATAGGCTAAAGGTTACTAAAAACCCTAGAAACCCTAAGGGAAGCAGTCGGCCATCTTGGTGTCAAGATGGGCCGGCCCATGCTCTACTAAAGCGACTAAACTAACTCTAAGTAAATTCTAAGGCTTAAAGCCCTACTCGGCCAACTCTCTTGGGGGCCCACTTGACTCTTCATGGGCTTGGATCATGGTATAGATGATTTGGTTGTCTCCTTCCAAGCCTTCAATATCTCTATGGACTCTATGTTGGTCTTGGACAATACGAACAAGGCCTTGGAGGGATTCTTTGAAGAGCTTGGCCCGTGCAAGTGTGACCGGGCCTAATGGAACCCGAACTGGGTCATTACATGGGCTGAGGTCCATGCACACATCAGTCCCCTCCTCTTGAGAAGGATTTGCCCACAAATCTGGGTCCTCCTCGTCAAGAAACGGGCTCAAATCCACAACATTGAAGGTCGTGCTAACATTATACTCCCCAGGTAGCTCCAGTTTGTAAGCGTTGTCATTAACTCGTTGGAGCACTCGAAAGGGTCCATCTCCCCTTGGGAATAACTTGCTTTGTCGCTGCTTGGGAAATCTCTCCTTCCTCAAGTGAAGCCAAACCCAGTCCCCAGGCTCAAAAATCATCTTACGACGGTGCTTGTTGGCTTGCTGGATGTATTGCTGAGTATGCCTCTCAATGTTTGCCCTAACGGCTTCATGTAATCTGCGCATAAAATCAACTTTCTTTTTCCCATCTAAGCTTGTGTGCTCAAAGGAAGGTAAGGGTACCAAATCCAGGGGGGTCAAAGGGTTAAAGCCATAGACAACCTCAAAAGGTGAGTAGTGTGTTGCACTATGAACAGTTCGATTGTAGGCAAATTCAACATGAGGCAAACACTCTTCCCAAGTTTTAAGATTCTTTTTAATCGAAACCCGAAGTAGAGTACCAAGTGTGCGATTGACAACTTCAGTTTGTCCATCGCTTTGTGGATGACTGGTGGTGGAGAATAACAGCCTAGTGCCCAGCTTAGACCACAAAGTCTTCCAGAAATAACTCAAGAACTTTACATCTCTATCACTAACAATGGTTTTAGGCATGCCATGCAGACGGACAATTTCTTTGAAGAACAAAGTAGCAATATGAGATGCATCGTCAGTTTTGTGACAGGGAATAAAATGTGTCATCTTAGAGAATCTATCAACTACGACAAAGATGGAATCATGACCCCTTGGTGACCTAGGTAGGCCTAAGACAAAGTCCATAGACAAGTCTACCCAAGGAAAGTGAGGAATAGGCAATGGGGTATACAGGCCATTTGGATTTGTTTTAGACTTTGCCCTATGACAAGTGACACATCTACCAACCATGCGTTCAACATCCCTACGCATGTGCGGCCAGTAAAAGTGCTCTTGTAACATGGCTAGAGTCTTAACAATGCCAAAGTGTCCCATGAGACCACCACTGTGTGCCTCTCTAACCAAAAGATCACGAATGGAAGAGTTAGGGACACACAATTTATCCACATAAAATAAAAATCCATTGTGCAAGAAATACTTTCCATGTGGACTTTTTATGCAAGATGCATAGATTTCTCCAAAGTCATGGTCATGGGTATATATCTCTTTGATCATCTCAAACCCTAACAACTTGGCATCAAGAACAGCTAGCAAAGAATGTCTACGAGATAAAACATCAGCTACCACATTTGTTTTGCCAGTTTTGTACTTAATGACATAGGAGAAGGTATCAATGAAGCTTACCCATTTGGCATGTCTCTTACTTAACTTAGGTTGCCCTTTGAGATACTTCAATGACTCGTGATCGGTGTGTATCACGAACTCCCGAGGGCGGAGATAATGTTGCCAGGTCTCCAAGGCTCTCACCAGTGCGTACAACTCCTTGTCGTACGTGGGATAGTTGACGGCAGCTCCTCCCAGTTTCTCGCTAAAGAAGCCACAAGGCCTTTTGTCTTGCATGAGGACGGCGCCAATACCTACACCAGAAGCATCACATTCGATTTCAAAAGTTTTGTTGAAGTTGGGTAATGCTAAAACAGGTGCGTGTGTGAGTTTGCTTTTGAGGGAAAGAAATGCTTGTTCTTGGACTTCCCCCCAATGGAATTTGTCATTCTTCTTGGTCACGGCGGTCAATGGGGCGGCAACGGTGCTAAAGTCTTTGACAAAACCCCAATAGAAGCCTGCCAACCCAAGAAAGCTGCACACCTCAGGGACGGATGTAGGAGTTGGCCATTGCTTGATGGCCTCAATCTTGGACTCGTCCACTTTGATGCCCTGCGAACTTACTACATAGCCCAAAAACACAAGCTCATTAGTACAAAAGGTGCACTTCTTAAGGTTAGCGTATAGACGCGCCTATCGAAGTGTCTCAAGAACTAGTCTCACATGCTCCAAATGCTCAAGTTCACTGCGGCTGTATATCAGAATGTCATCAAAGTAAACAATGACAAATTTGCCAATAAAATTTCTCAAAACATGGTTCATTAGTCGCATGAAAGTGCTAGGGGCATTAGTCAATCCAAAAGGCATGACTAGCCACTCATAGAGACCATGTTTGGTTTTGAAGGCAGTTTTCCACTCATCGCCTTCTTTCATCCTAATTTGATGATAGCCACTCCTTAAATCAATTTTGGTGAAAATGATAGCACCATCGAGTTCATCAAGCATATCATCAAGTCTAGAAATGTGATGACGGTATTTGACAGTGATAGCATTTACAACCCTACAGTCAGTGAACATGCGCCAAGTACCATCCTTTCTGGGGACAAGTACCACAGGCACAGCACAAGGAGTTAAACTCTCTTTTACCCAACCCTTACCTAAGAGGCCATCAACTTGCCTTTGAAGCTCCTTTTTCTCCTTAAGACCCATGCGGTAAGCTGGTTTGTTGGGTAGGGGTGCTCCAGGAATCAGGTCTATTTGATGTTTAATCCCTCGAATGGGTGGTAAGCCGTCAGGGACCTCGTCAGGGAATACATCCTCGAATTCCTGTAAAAGAGCAACCATACTCGAAGGCAATGCCTTATCGAATTCAGCAACATCTAAGAGCACATGTTTGCAAATCATGAGAAGCACAGGCTGGTCAGAATTCACAACTTTTCTAACGTCCTTAGCCTTAATGATCATGTTTTGCTTCCTAGTGGAAGGTGTAGTGGGGGATTTGGCATGCGTAACACTAGGTGTGCTCACTTGACCCTTGGTCGATGGCTCACTTGTAGAAGTGGAGCTCTTGCCAGGGTCGGCCGTCTTTTGCTTTCGCTTTTGACGGTGTATGTCACACTCCCTTTGCAATTTTAGTTGGTCCTCATAAACTTGTGCAGGTGTGAGTGGTGTGAGGACCTTACGCTTGCCTTCATGCAAAAGTGCGTACGTATTTGCCCTTCCATTGAATGTGACGTCTTTGTCAAATTGCCATGGTCTCTCCAAGATGACATGTGTAGCATGCATAGGCACGACGTCACATACAACTTCATCAGTGTAACTACCAATTGAGAAGGGAACGCGTACCTGTTTGAAGACACGTACCTCGCCATCCTCACTCAGCCATTGGAGGCGGTAAGGATGTGGATGTCAGGTAGTTGGGAGCCCTAGACTCTCAACCATCAGCAAGCTCGCCACATTCGTACAACTCCCACCATCGACGATGAGGCTACACACTTTGTCACCGATCTTACAACGAGTGTAGAATAGGTTCTCTCTTTGTAGTTGTTCATCCTCCTTGACTCGGGCGGTTAGCACTCGTCGTGCCATCAAGCAACCTACTTCCCCTTGGGTAGGCGAGCAAGCATCCGCAGCTAGATCATCCTCCAGGCAGTCATCGTTGACTAATTCGGGCACCTCCTCACATTCGTCGTCATCGGACACGATCTCGCCATTGTGAGTAATTAACATGACCCATTGGTTTGGACATTGAGACTGGATATGGCCAAACCCTTGGCATTTAAAACACTTGATGTCCCTACTCCTAGTCTTAGGAGTCTCATGTGGTACCTTAGAGGTAGACCTGGATGCATCAAGAGCTTTGTTAGGGGTAAAATTGGTATTACGGGCAGAGGCATTACCTTGAATCAGGCTAGAGGAAGTTGGTGTAGCCGAATTTCCAACTTCGTGGGTTGCTTGCCGTGGGAGGTTTCCCTTCCAGGAAGGCGAGTTGGAAGTTTGGTAGGTACGGGCCCCACGCCTTAATTTCTTTCCCCTCTCGGCCTTGATGGCAAGTTCAAGGAGGTCAAGGATGTCCACATAATGTTGGAGCTCCAAGGCTTCCTGAAAGTCAGGATTGAGACCTCTAAGAAACCTGGCCATGGTCGCTTCACCATCCTCTTGAATGTTTGCCCTCATCATGGCCATTTCGATCTCCTTGTAATAGTCCTCTGCACTCATGTTGCCTTGAGTGAGGGTTTGCAGTTTGGAGTGGAGATCTCGATTGTAGTAGTTTGGAACGAATCTCTTACGCATCAATGCCTTGAGTTCTCGCCAAGTTCGGACGCGTGGTTCTCCCATTCTCCTTCTATGGGTCCTTACTTGGTCCCACCAAATTAGGGCGTAGTCGATGAACTCATCGGTGGCAACCTTTACCTTTTGTTCCTCACTATAGTCATAACAGTCGAAGACCATCTCGATACGGCCTTCCCATTCCAAATAAGCCTCAGGATCACTCTTGCCTTTGAACACGAGGACTTGAATCTTAAGCCTCTTGAGTTCGTTCTTAGACGTGTCCCTCTTAGGCCTCTCGGCATGTTCATCTTCCTCACTACCTGAGTAGCTTTCACCATTGGCATCCCTGGTGTCACGGTTACTCCAGTTGTGAGATCGAGAACGAGAGCCTCGTGTGAGACTTTTGGACAGATCATCAAAACGAGTGTGCAATTCCTCCATTTGTTGCTCACTAACTCGCCTGAGCTTGTTCTTCATGGCTGTGAACATCAAGGAGTAGTCAGTGGGTGGTTGTTGTTGCTCCATGTCTCTCTTGATGCCCTGCAAAAGGTTAGTAACAAGAAGGAATAGTACAAATATATCCTCACTTCACTCCCTTAGTGTATCACTCACGCTCGTGTATGGCACTCAAAACGCTCTACTAGACTTACCAAATACCTTTATCTGTTGGATTAGGTAGTTGAGAAATATTGCTCGAGTCCAATAATCGTCACCAACGTTTTCCCACAAGAGTAAGCAAGAGTGTATGACACAATTGGGTGAGATTTTGAGAAGGAATGGACGAGATTTGAAAGGTTATGGGTGGCGGGCAAATTTGGAAATAACGCTAAGGAAGGAAACCCTAGATTTCCTAAGATGTAGGAGAGGTTCCTAAAACGTAGGAGTGAAAGTAGGGGTGGTTTCCTAAAACCAAGGAGTTATTATAGGAGAGTGTCCAAGTGGGACAAAGAGTTATCCAAGTGTTGTACTTAATCTCCTAAATGAATTTTGGAAAACAAGTTGGGTTTGGAAACTTCTTAGAAAAACCCTTCTTTTGAACAACTTTTGAAACCTCCAAATTCCTCTCCAAAACAGATTTGGTTTCTTTCCTCCCTCAATCGAAAGTTTCCAGAATTTTCCTCCTTAAAAAAAAACCCTTCCCCAAGTCGGCTACTCCCTTATAAAACTCTCTCTCTCATAGCCGTAACTTTCTCCAAGACACTCCAAGAAACTCGGCCCCTTCACACTTCAAAGAACAAAACAACTCGGCTCCCCCCCTCTCTTTGCAAGGCAAGGCAGCCTTGGTTCTTGTTTCAAGACAATGGCCTCCCAAGATAATGTGAGCAATGTCACTCAAGGATCCCCCCAACAGGCTGCTCAAGAAACTCCCGCGAAGTTTAGTCCTAAACCAAGAAAGCCCCGTATGGATGCAAGAACATACAAGAAACTTTTTATTCGAAGAGAGGTGCAAGTTTTCAAGAAACAAGATGGTCAAGACTTTCAAGAACCTCAAAGGGTGGTTCAAGTGATCAAGACTCAAGGTGATCAAGAATGTCAAGAAGAGGTAGGCCAAAACTTTTGAGTTTCTTTCTTTTGTTTGTTCGAATTTTCTGGTTGGCTTAGAAACAATATGTAATGGTTGTTGTCTTGGCAATAAAAAAAAACTCAAGTTCTTCCTTTCTTCTTGTCCGGCCTTTGTTCCACCCAAATTGCTTTCTTCTTTTCTTTTTTCGATTCTGTTTTTTTTTTTTTTGACTTAACCAACAACACAAATACCCGGCCGAAGTAGTAAAAATTCCAGAAATAATGCAGCCCCTCAACTCACACAATCGAATAGCCGAAAACTCCAAGATCTTGCAAGATACTTCCAAGAATTTCAAGAACTTCTAGGTGGTAACCAAGATCTTCAAGAAACTCTACAAATCTGGTAGGTTCTCTTCAAGATTCCCACCCCAACAAGTATTAACCAAAAATTCAGGTTAGAAAATTAATAGCTTGGACGGCCCACAACGGATTTGGACAGATTTGGAAGGAAACAACAAAAACCCTAGCGCGCAAGGAAACCCTAGCCGCCTCCAGTTTTCGACTTTCTTGCTGCCCAAGGGACACTACGTGAGCAAGACAGGTTTGGGTAGGTTCAAGACAGAATTTTGCATGCCACCAATGCTCACAAAACCCGCGGACAGATTGCAACTCAACGTTCGCAACAAGGGTGAAACCCTAGCTGCCGCACGCGTGGTTTTCTCCTTTTTTTTTTTTGTTACACAAGGAACTACACGGACAGAATACTTCGGACAGCAACACACAAAGAATACGGGCAGAATTGAACAACAAAGTCACGACTAAATTGACGCAACAAGACACAAGAAAAATTGCGGACTGATTTTTTTTTTTGACAAACGACGCAACAAAGGATATAACTAGACGAACAGAATTTTTTGAAACAAGGCAGCGGAATCAACTAAAAACTAAGACAAAGCTACGGATATAACGGAAGATACCTCCACCAAAGCTCTGAAGCCAACTAATACGTTCCTTGATCAACTTGTTTCGAGACACGTAGCACGTTTGCCCAAGGATCTAGCGAGGTTGTCCAACGCTTGGTTTCCGGAACCTAGAATCAAACGGACGACACTTTTTGATTAAAGGCGGTAGAACGACACTCCGATGAAGGTGAATACTCTAGGAGAATAGGTCGGTTGAACAATCAAGGACAGGACGTAAGATTGCTCAAGAACCCTTGCCAAAGCAAGTTAAAGGCTCGAATTCTCTCTTAAGAAGAAAGCGAAAATACTAAGAACTTTATTCATAAAACTTGTGTTTAGAACCTTACAAAGCTAGCCTTTTTATAGGCTAAAGGTTACTAAAAACCCTAGAAACCCTAAGGGAAGCAGTCGGCCATCTTGGTGTCAAGATGGGCCGGCCCATGCTCTACTAAAGCGACTAAACTAACTCTAAGTAAATTCTAAGGCTTAAAGCCCTACTCGGCCAACTCTCTTGGGGGCCCATTTGACTCTTCATGGGCTTGGATCATGGTGTAGATGATTTGGTTGTCTCCTTCCAAGCCTTCAATATCTCTATGGACTCCATGTTGGTCTTGGACAATACGAACAAGGCCTTGGAGGGATTCTTTGAAGAGTTTGGCCTGTGCACGTGTGACCGAGCCTAATGGAACCCGAACTGGGTCATTACATGGGCTGAGGTCCATGCACACATCAAAAGTTACATTACACATTTACATGAAAATAATTAGAACAATCTTTGCCAACTCTTTTTGGCTACCAGCTCTTACCAATGTTTTAAAATCCGGACCGTTAATTGAACCGGTGAAGTGAAAGGGTCGAGATTCAACCGGTCGGACCGGTTCAACTCCGGTTCAATGAATTTTTTAAAAAATAATTTATATAAATATATATATGCACAAAATAAGACATGCAATGGACTAATTTAAAACTTTATTTGATGAAAAGTTTACTATTTTTGAATAACTTGGATTTTCAAAAATAAATTTTTAAAATTATAAATTGAAACAAATAAATTTCATTTCAATTTCAATTATATCTACCAAAAAAAGCTTAAATCCAACCCAAAAATATCACAATATTTTGAAATTATACAAAATTCACATCTATGAGAATTTAGATATTGTGAACTTAAATTTTAATTTACGTTTTTGAGATTTAGAGATTGCAATTTAAAAAAGAAAATTTGGAGTTTGAAAGAAGTCAAGAGAATCGAAAATAGAAATGCAAACTTGATAAGAAACAAAAAATAAGATAAAAGTGAGTGGTTGTGGCATTAAATAATTTGGGTTAAAGAAAAATAATTCTTTTTTAACTTTTTTCAATTTAATGGACAAAAACAAAATTAAAAGATGAAAGAAAATATCAATAAATTAAAACTAAAGAGGTTTGATTAAAAAGGGAGTGACAAAAAAAAAGAGGAGAGAGAGCGAGAGAGAGAGAGAGTTGAAGATTAAAAAGAAAGAGTCATCAGAGGATGAGATTTTGTAAAAAAATGAAAAAAAAGAAATA